CACTATTCCAGTGCAAAGCACAGGTAGGCTTTTTCATTTAATAGGAGGGCATTTTGTTCACTGAGTCCGATGGACCATGGCTTGGGCCAAGGCATTTGTTAAAAGTTTTTCTAAACTGTGGAAGAGGAGACGTGGGGTTTAGTACGTGTGGAACTCGATGTCTCTTCCCTGCTACGTCATGAAAGACAGGCCACCTTTGCTCACACTGACCTAGTCTTTACCCCTCGCCCCTTGCTCTGAGCCAGAACAGAAAGGTAACCTTTGAGGACGTCACCCTCTCCCCTACTGCTTCCTCCAACTGGAGGCAAACTTTCTCCCACTTCCCAGAGCCTTGCAGAGGAGGTGAGATCAGCCTACTCCTTGGAATCCAGAACCATTTCCAGAATCTTGAACTGTGGCCTCTCAGGTCTCCATCTGTGATACTGCTGATTCTGCTGCTTCTTTGACCTATAGTAGCCATCATTATGCCTCACACACACATCACAGGTGCTCAGTCACTAGTAAACTAAATATACTCTCTCCGGAAGAAGTAACTTAACTGCCTATGCTTAGCCTGATATTCGAAGCTGCAAGGACTTTAATGATCCAGGCTTGATCTGTCTTATTCTGTCTGTCAAAGCATTCCCAACTCTTCCTAGGTGCAAGGAAAATGCAAGGGGAATAGACTTCCACTATTTTTTAAATTAAATTTATTTATTTGATTGTAGAGGAAAATGAGGAGAGAAAGAGAGAGAGAGAGAATGACTAAAAAAGAGAGAGAGAATGAATGCTCATTCATTCCCTGGGAGCCTAAAATTCAGTCCAGGTCTCCCAGCTGGGTGGCAGGAACCCAGGTACTGGAGTCATCACTGCTGCCTCCCAGGTCTGCATAGCAGGGAGCTGGAACAGGGAACAGAACTGGGACTTGAACCCAAGCACTCTGTTATGGGAAATAGTCATCCCAAGTGACATCTTAACCACTGTGTCAAATGCCCACCCTGATCCTCACTTTTTTGATCGATTGAATGTCAGAAATTTACGATTATGTTTTAAAAATATTTTATTAATTTATTTGAAAGATAAGAGTTACAGACAGAAAGGAGAAACAGAGAGAAATGTCTTCCATCTGCTAGTTTACTCCCCAAATAACTGCAACTGCCGGAGCTGGGCCAATCTGAAGCCAGGAGCCAGGAGCTTCTTTCAGGTCTTCCACGTGGGTGCAGGGGCCCAAGGCCTTGGGCCATCTTCCACTGCTATCCCAGGCCATAGCAGAGAGTTAGATTGGAAGTAGAGCAGCTGGGACTCAAACCGGAGCCCAAATGGGATGCTGGCGCTGCAGGCGGCAGCTTTACCCGCTTTGCCACAGCACTGGCCCCTACAATTATGTTTTTAAACCACTACAAACAGCCACTGTAAAAAATTAGTGGTAGGAATGAGGATTAACCGTTGACAGCAGAGGTACAATGGAGTTAGAAAGAGCAGTGCCCCTCCTATTTATTTTAGTCATTTTACACTAGGCATTCCTGCTTAGCCATCAGCCTCACAACCTAATGATTCCATCACAGTTGTGCTTCCTAACATCACCAATAATGCAAAGGCAAACCTATTCAGCTTTAGTTTTTGTCCTCTTGACATTCATTCTACACTTGACATTGGTAAAGACTTGCATCTTCTTCACTCATATTCTCAAATACCAGATCCTGGGAGTGGTATGCTACTGCTCCATTGCCTAACTCTGCATTTGACAGGCCACTCCATGTGGACCACTATGGGGACAGGCACCCTTGTGTTTTGGCCCTTGGCCCCTTTGTCCCCCCTCTTAAGTAAAATGCACCCCTTTTATCACTCCATGTCACTGACTCTCAAATATCTCCCAGTTCTGTTGTCTCACTCCCTTGGCATGTTACATACACATGCTCTGATAGCTCTCTACCTAGTTGTCAACACCATTGAATGTTGTTCTGAACTTATTTCTTTTTAAGATTTATTTTATTTATTTGAAGGACAGAATTACAGAGAGAGGCAGAGGCAGAGAGAGAGAGTCTTCCATCCTCTGGTTCACTCCCCAAATGGCTGCAATGGCTGGAGCTGGGCCAATCCAAAGCCAGGAGCCAAGAGATTCTTCCGGGTCTCCCACATGGATGCAGGGGCCCAAGAACTTAGGCCACTTTCTCCTGTTTTCCCAGGCCACAGTATGCAGCTGGATCAGAAGTGGAGCAGCTGGGACTCAAACTGGCGCCCATATGAGATGCCAGTGCTGCAGGTTGGGGCTTTAACCCCCTGCACCACAGTGCTGGCCCCTGCTCTCATCTTCTTACCCCTGAAATCACCTCCCCTTCCCATCATTTCATGACGACCACTTGGCACCGTCACTGAGCCTATGTCCTGTGTCCTTAGAATGAGAGACATCTTTGACAAATCTTTGATTCCATGTCTAGTCATTCCCAAAGCTGTATTGTCTATCAGATTAAATGGACAGGTGTGTGAGAGCACCTTACAATCTGTAAGCTTGACACAGGCACGAGGGGCTGAGTCCATACTAAGAATGGAGTTTCAGGGCTTGCTCCTCTTTCGGCTGCTACAGCCTCATCTCTGCCCAGCTTCGGGGCCTGTCGCTCTCTGTCTTCCCCCTCACTCAATTTCCCAGCAGGTCAGGCGGATGGATGCATCCACACGTGCCCCCTGCTTTCCCCAATATCTGTGCCTTTATGCATGCCACTTCCTGGCCTCAGCTGCTCTTCACGTCAACATGTGTTTGCAGAGGTGAAACCCCTGTGTGTGTGTCCCCCTTCTCCTCTGTTTATGCAGAGCCCAGCTTGCGCAGCTGTGTCTTCCTGGGGCAAGCCTCACAGGCCTGCCTTCCTGTGGATGCTCCTTGGACTAATCATCTGGCACAAGACACACCACCTTTATCTCACTGGCGATTTGGAAATCGTTCTCCGGGCATCTGGTGTCTTCTGTCCCCTGCTTCCAGAGACGACCCTGGCTGCCACTGACACTCGGGCTTAGCTCCTGCAGCGTGCAGTGCCAGCAGGTCTTGGGTGGTTGACCACGGTCTCTGGTGGCATCCAGAGGATCTTTGGCTTATTGGACATACCCTGGAAGCTAAGGCCCAATCTTTATTCTTCCTCTCTCCTGTTTGCTATGATTTCATACTACATTTTTTTAAAAAGATATTTTTTAAAAGTTTTTAAACAATGAAATAAACCCAGAAGTCCATCAACTGAAGACTGGATAAAGAAATCATGGTCTACATACACTATGGAATACTACTCAGCAGTGAAAAAAAGAAATCCCGTTGTTTGCAACAAAATGGATGCACCTGTAAACCATTATATTTAGTGAAGTTGATCAGTCCCCAAGACATATATAGGGTTTTCCCTGATCTGGGGTAACTAACAGAGTATCTAAAATGTAATGTATAGGAGTGAAATTGACATTTTGAGATTTGATTATTGTTTACAGCTTTTGTCTCAACTGTTGAGGAACAGTGATTTTTTTATACTCTTTCTTGAACTCTTAGTGTAGGGTTAATTTTATGAGTATAAAGTTAACTGAAAATAGATTTTTTTTTTTGGGTCAGGCAGAGTGGACAGTGAGAGGGAGACAGAGAGAAAGGTCTTCCTTTTCCGATGGTTCACCCCCCAATGGCTGCTGCGGCCAGCGTGCTGCGGCCGGCGCACTGCGCTGATCTAAAGCCAGAAGCAAGTGCTTCTCCTGGTCTCCCATGCGAGTGCAGGGCCCAAAGACTTGGGCCATCCTCCACTGCACTCCCGGGCCACAGCAGAGAGCTGGCCTGGAAGAGGGGCAACCGGGACAGAATCTGGCGCCCCGACCAGGACTAGAACCCAGGGTGCCAGCGCCACAGGCAGAGGATTAGCCTGTTGAACCACGGTGCCGGCTGAAAATAGATCTTTGTAAAAAATAAGAATGGGAATAGAAAAGGGAGGAGAAAGAAGAGTGGGAGGGTGGGCAGGAGGGAGGGGAGGGTGGGAAGAATCACTGTGCTCCTAAATTTGTATGAAATGCATAAAGTTTGTATACCTTAAATAAAAATTTTTTAAAAAAATGAAATAAATATTTGCACAAAGATAGAATTAGGAAAACGTCTTCCTCCCACAGAAAAAACACATTACAATGTTTAATTTATCTCTAACAGGTAGCAGGATTATAGCAACCTGGGATAGTTTGAAAACCGTATTTCACTCAGTCGGAAACAAAATTTGGGAGAGGACCTTCTAAGGGGTGGAATGCTGGTGAGCAGCAGAGCTGTGCTCTTTTCTTTCTACTGTATCCGCAAAAATGCAGTTCAAAGGACTGAGTGATACTTCTTTCTGTACAGTGTTTTAGCCGGTTACTATTGCTTTCCAATATGACCATTCTCTCATTTGATATCTTCCTATGAGAAGTGACCAAACAGAAACTATTTCTATTAAAAGTTCTAAACGTGGTTTAGGTTGCAATCGCAGTCTGAATTTTGGTGGTTGGAAAGGAATAAATAAGGAGGCAGGGAGGGTGAGACGCTGAAAGGAGAGGAAAGGGGAGCAGAGAGGGCTCCAGGGGCCTGCAAGGAGCCTGGGGTGGCAGAGGGACAGCAGCAGCGCCCTACTCCTGCCTCCTTTGGAAGCGCTCTGGCTAGATCTCTGAGATCCTGCTTGTTTGGGGAGCCGCCGCTTGTTTCCTCGCTTCAGTTGCAGAACACAGTGGAGAGGACACAGCAGGTGCAGCGCGCACTGGATGCGGACGGCGGCGGGATGCGGAGCTAGGGCCTCAGGGAGTGAACGCGCCCCACCCACCCCCAGGCGCCGAGCACCGAGCCAGAGGGCACGCCCCCTCTAGTTCCCACGCGCGTGCGAGTCTTCTAAGCCCTGGCGGCGGCTCGGCCCTCGAGCGGCCGGGCTATAAAAGTCACCGGGGAAGGCCAGGGCACAGCTGTACTCCCGGCCTGGGCGCAGCAGGTGTTCCCAGCGCGAGGGTGGAGAGGCGGACAGGCGGCCGGCCGCGACCCCTCCACTGCTGCCCCGGGGTGGGAGGGCGGTTCCCGAGGTCAGAGAGAGCCCAGTGACCAGGCAGGAAAGGGAACTTACATCTTCGGAGATTGCAGCCCTTATCCTCTTGCACCTGCCTCTTGCTCAGAGTGAAGATGGTGGGCACCACGACCACGGACGTGCCCCCAACCATGGGGGTCAAGATCTTCTCAGCCGGAGTGGCAGCCTGCCTGGCGGACGTGATCACCTTTCCGCTGGACACCGCCAAAGTCCGGCAACAGGTAGAGGCAGACGGGGACCACGAGGCGTCCCAGGGCAAACGTTGTGTGCGTCCCTTCGGTAGCCTGCTTTGGTGTAGCCACCCGTCCTCAGGTAGGGCAGGTGTGGCCTCGTCCCAGGGCTGGATGCTCTAGGGCGGGACGCTGGAACTTCTCTAGTAAGTGAAGAATCCCAAGAGCCTGGGATGTCGGGTTGCCGGTGATTATTGCCAGGCTCTTGCAAAGCCACTGCATGCTGGGAGTTGTAGGAGCTAGGGATGTCCTTCTCTGCGCAGTTTTGCGACCCGGGGGCTTTTCCTTTTTTTGATTCTGCGAGGATACCACCCATCCTACTGCCTTAGGGGATGCCCGGGGCCTGGGGACAGATGCTCAACTCGTGCATTGTAGCCCATGTTTCTCTCTGTATTCTCTCCCCGCCCCTCACTCCCTCCCTTTCCTCCTCCTTCTCCCTTTCATTCTTTTCTTTCCCTTTTTCCTCCTGAAAATGCACACACACACACACATACACAAATTGCTGAGAAGGGAAATTGAAACCCATGTCCAAAGCCTGGGCTTGAAGTTTTGCACAGAGGACAGCCCCATGCCGGTCTTGTCTTCCCACCAACTAGGAGCCTTGCGCTGTTTTCCCCCCTGCACCTTTCTCATTTCCAGATCCAAGGTGAGTTCCCGATCACCAGCGGCATCAGGTACAAAGGTGTCCTGGGGACAATCACCACCCTGGCAAAAACGGAAGGGCCCCTGAAACTCTACAGCGGGCTGCCCGCCGGCCTCCAGAGACAAATCAGCTTCGCCTCGCTCAGGATCGGCCTCTACGACACGGTGCAGGAGTTCTTCACCTCGGGGGAAGAAAGTAAGCCATGGGCGCTCCCGGGAGGCTGGCTGTGCTCAAACACACAAGGTCACAGTCTCTGTAACCAGCAGGCAAAAAAACCTCAGTGTGTGAACTCTCTCCCTCTCATATTAGCTCCCTGCATAGAAAGAAAAGTGTATGTGCAAATTGGCTATTTTTCTTCAGATGCACACTTACATAAATCACCCAGTTTGTTGTGAAGGTCTCTACCTAATTTGGACCTCTACATGAATGACTAAAAAATACATTTAAGTCAAAATTCCCCCCCACAGCAAAGTATATCAGAATACCTAAGGAGCTTGATGAATACCTGCGGGGGTACTGCCGGAGTCCTCAGTACTTGGGGACTGAGGCACTTATGTTTTCTTTCATAAGGTACCCCAGTTATTTATGATGGTGCCCAACAAAGTTTGAAAAGCTTTGGTTTGAAGAACAGAAGTTAGACTTTGTAAGGAGACTTGAGAGAACAAGAAGATTTCCTTTTGAGAGATTTCTCATAAGGTCGCGAACATTAAAGATCAGGGAGGGAAAAGTGGATGTATGCTGAAGTGGGTTCACTTACGGGAAGGAGAGGAAGTGAATGCCTTCCGGGTACCAGTGCAAGTCCCCGTCAGCTTGGCTCGCATTTATATATGTCAGTCACGATTCAAAGTGTGTCAGATATGTCACAAGTGGAAAGGCACTGGTGTTAGCATCCTTTGGCAAAGAGGGAAGCTGAGCTCCAAGCTGTTTTGTGACTTGCTGGAGTTCTCACAGCTGGAAAGGGCCCGCACCAGAGTTCAAACCCAAGCTCTCCCGCTGCACTTCCCTGCCCCCTGCACTTTGCATGTGAGTGTGCATCACTCGTTCTATGCAACTGCGCTAGGACTGGAAAGCATTATCTGAGTACCACTGAAGCTAAGGGACAGGTGCAGAATCACATCAGAGGCGCTCCCATGTGGGCCAGACCAGGGAGGGAGATGTGCTGGTGGCGAAGGGAATGTGCTGTGTTAGTAACTCCCTCGGTAGATTCCTTCGTTTCTACTCGGAGTAACCCTGGAATACTAGGACCTTGTGGGATAATTTGTAAATATCGTTTACACAAATACATAAGTTAAACTTATCCTCCCAAATACGTTCTGAGTGATGATAAAGTCTGGATGATTCTAGATCAATACTGCACTGTCCTATTTACAGATGTAGGAAAAGACACATGATATGAAGCTGCCCATTAAGGTGTTTTTTTTTTTCATACACTGATTATTTTAGCCAGTTGTTAGGTACTTTATACCCCAAATTAATCAGATGTGTTTGGGCAGTACACTGTTATGCTAATTCCACTCCCTCAATAAGCTTCACCAAACAGGAGCTTACAGCTCAGAGTAAGTGGCTGAGAGGAGAAGAATTAAGAGAAAGGTAGGAATATAAGATGCCTCCCAAGTGTTCCACTAAAGATATCATTTGCTGAGGGAGGAAATACGGAGGTTGTCTTAAGGAAAAATATAAATTCAGTTGAGAACATGTCAACATGTGATATCCAGTAGGCACATGAGCTTGGGAGAGCGATCTGGACTAGACTGCAGGAAGTCACAGAAGGCACTGTTGATGCAGCAAACGAGGCAGAGAGCGCTGTGTGGACAGGGCCGACACATGATGGCTGTGCCTGAAAAACCCAAGCTCACTGGTTGCCTGGCACGAACATCTTCAGCAGAGTGGTGGGGTGCAAGCCAGGTGGTGGAGCACTAAGAAGCAAATGGGCCATGAGAAGTGATAACAGAGGATACAGCTCCCCGGGAGCTTGACGGGGAGATGAAGTGGGGATGAGAGAGCTGGAGCCCAAAGAGTAGAGTGAGTGCATCAAACTAAAATTATAAATGTGGGCCCCAAGTGAAGGCAACCATAGTTACACAACATTGCCAAGTAAAAGCTACTGTAGATTCAGCTCATGATCAGACATGAGGGAGTACAATCATAATAATAATGAAACAACTGCTGCCAGTTTTGTGGGTTTCCTATGTGCTGGGCAATGTATTAAATACTTTATCGATACTATTTTAATTAGCCCAAGAAGACATCACTATCCCTAGTTTACAGGTTGGGAAACAGAATTAGAATGAGACAGTCTTTGATGGGTACGTGTTATTGAGTCATAATTCTATATTTCATTATTGGATAAATATTGGGCTTCAAAACAATGTGTAACTTTAGTAAATGATGTCTGTCTTGAGTAATAAGCTAAGTTCTCAAAATTTCAAAAGAAAAATCTTTTTAAAGTTGCCTTTGTTTTAACTTTATATATTGTAACTTTCCTACGTTTTAACCAAAACACTACTTGATGTCTCATATTGGGCAATTTGCCCACTGGGCTTTTCCTAAAATCAAGGAGTCTGATAATTAACATTATCACTGGAAATTAACATTATCATTGGAAATATTGAAAAAGAGAGCTATACATGGGAAAGAATGAAGCTAAATAAAGGAAGAACTAAGCCACTTTTTAAAAAAAGATTTCTTTCATTACTTATTTGAAAAGTAGAGCAAAAGAGAGGACAGGAGGGGAGAGAGAGAGACAGAGGGAGAGAAAGAGAGAGGGAGGGAGAGGGAGAGAGAGAGAGAGGGAGAGGGGGGGAGGGAGAGGGAGAGAGAGAAAAGGTCTACTATCCACAGGTTCACTCCTCAAATGCCTGCAACAGCCAGTCTGGGCCAGGCCAAACCCAGGAGCTAGGACCTCCATCTGGGTGTCCCACATGTGTTTCAGGGACCCAAGTACTTGGGCCATTATCTGCTGCCTTCCCAGATGCCTTAGCAGAAAGCTGGATTGCAAGCAAGCAGCCAGGACTTGAAATAGCACTTGGATATGGGAAGACAGTATTGCAAGTGGTGTCTTAACTCACTGTGCCACAACACCATTCTCATAAGCTACTGTTTAATTGGAATTGTGTTTTGTTTTTCCTTGAAAGTCTTCATTAAAAAAATGAACCTGGGATGAACATCTTCAGCAGAGTGGTGGGGTGCAACTTAGACAAGTTTTCTAGTCCTGCTATGATCAATATACGGACCAGATTTAGGACCAGAAGGGGCCGGCGCCGTGGCTCACTAGGTTAATCCTCCACCTGTGGCGCTAGCATCCCATATGGGCACCGGTTCTGGTCCCGGCTGCTCCTCTTCCAATCCAGCTCTCTGCTGCGGCCTGGGAAGGCAGTAGAAGATGGCCCAAGTACTTGGGCCCCTGCACCCCTGTGGGAGACCAGGAAGAAGAAACCTGGCTCCTGGCTTCGGATCGGTGCAGTTCCGGCTGTCGCGGCCATTTGGGGAATGAACCAACGCAAGGAAGACTTTCTCTCTCTCACTGTCTGTAACTCTACCTCTCAAATAAATAAATCTTAAAAAAAATTGAATACCAAGACACTGACTACTAAAAATTACAGATGGATGGATGTATTCTGGATCTTGATTTTCTTTTCTGAATAAGTGTTTCTCTTTCTGCAAAGCAGCACCGAGTTTAGGAAGCAAGATCTCGGCCGGCCTAACAACTGGAGGCGTGGCGGTGTTCATTGGGCAGCCCACAGAGGTCGTGAAAGTCAGGCTGCAAGCGCAGAGCCACCTGCACGGTCTCAAGCCTCGCTACACGGGGACGTACAATGCCTACAGGATTATAGCTACAACTGAGAGCTTGACCAGTCTGTGGAAAGGTAACCAACTTCTCGGGCATTTCATAATCACGAAAACACATTTCTTCAGTTGGAACCTTTCATAAACAGAGTTATCAAACAATTTCTCCTTTACCCCCAGGGACAACTCCTAATCTGTTAAGGAATGTCATTATTAACTGTACAGAGCTCGTAACCTACGACCTAATGAAGGGGGCCCTTGTGAGAAACGAAATACTAGCAGGTAACTTTCTGTGTTACAATTAAAAAAAATTGGTCTATCTCTTTATAATTTCATCTGAGAGCTTCTACATTCACATTACTTTGAATACGCCCTTAATTTTTATTTTTATGGTTTTTTTAAAAAAGATTTATTTATTTATTTGAAAGTCAGAGTTACACAGAGAAGGAAAGACAGAGAGAGAGAGAAGTCTTCCATCTGCTGGTTCACTCTCAAAATGGCCACAATGGCCGGAGCTGTGCAGATCCGAAGCCAGGAGCCAGGAGCTTCCTCTGGGTCTCCCACATGGGTGCAGGGGCCCAAGCACTTGAGCCATCATCTACTGCTTTCCCAGGCCATAGCAGAGAGCTGGATCAGAAGTGGAGCAGCCAGGACTCTAACTGGCGTCCACATGGGATGCCAGCACTGCAGGCAGCGGCTTCACCTGCTATGCCACAGCACTAGCCCTAACCCCTTAATTCTAATAGTCTTCTCTTGGAAAAAAATTAAGCAATTTTGAGCGTGAGACATACATAACTTTGAGGAAAAGAAAATTATCAAAACCTTAAGTTGAAGAAGTATTGCTGCAAAAAACCTTTCACAATATTTCTGTGGCAATTTTATTGTCACAAAAATATAATGCAGCTGTATTATGTGAGTGTTAGTCTCATCTAATACTAACATAAGGGACTGCTGTTAGGCTCTCGATATAGCAGAATTCACGAGGTAAGTCCATCCCCACGCCAATTCCCAAAGAGCTAGTTTTATAAACTGCTTTTCAGTGGTTTCATCCAAAAAGCAGGCCCATAGGATAGGGCCTTCAAATAATACTCTAACAATTTTCAGAGACACTGGAATTCTCCTTGAACAAGCCTTCAATTCTTTCAGAGAGTAGTAGACGCCTGTAATCGGGCATTATGCCAGGCCCCGGCAGCACAGAGAAAGCTGAGGTTGTTTTCCTACAGTGTTTACAATCCACTGTGCTGTACTATTTACCATCTTTGTCCAGTACGGTTTTTCCTGCTGTATTTGGTTAGAAGACATCCACACTGAACTCCTGCTATCAGCAGGTTCACAAAGATCTGACAGATAACTAAAAAGTGCAAGCTCCCCCAAAGTCTGCTGTTGACTTGTCTCATGGATCCTTTTTAGATGATGTTCCCTGCCACTTACTGTCAGCTCTTATCGCTGGATTTTGCACAACGCTTCTGTCCTCTCCAGTGGATGTGGTGAAAACCAGATTTATTAACTCTCCACCGGGACAATACACGAGTGTGCCCAACTGTGCAATGACAATGTTCACTAAGGAAGGACCAACGGCTTTTTTCAAAGGGTAAGATATGCTCTCAATCTGTCAATCTGGGTTCAGGCTGGCTGTCTGTTTTGGGACACTGTCTCATCTAAATAAGAGACATTTAGATTCTCAGCCTTCATATGCAGTATGCTTATTATTAACTTTTCCTCACCATAAATTAAATCTATTAACTCCACTGTGCCAGAAAATAAACAGCTGTGATGTAGCAATCTTCTCAGCCTTGATCCGAGGCTCATCTGAAGTCAGTGCCCCAGTCTCTTGAAAATGTAGACAATATTTTGCCTTCTCTGGGCAGGAGAACTACAAAGTAGAGGGAAAGTGTAATAAAGGGCTACAAGAAAATAAGACTTGATTGTCATTGTTTTAATTTGATGAGCTCAATTTTTTAAAACATGCTAAAGCTAGAAAAAATCACTGCCACTCATCTAGAAAAATAACCAAAAATTATGTGGTTTGAGTATTATCATACTCAGCTAGAAACTAGTATTGTGTAATAGATGACATTTTCTCATATGTAATGTGTATTACATCAGAGACTACTTTGAACAATAGCTTTAATTCAATTAGAATTAAAGAAAACATAGTATCAACCAATTTATGTACATATTCAGCAAGGATTATACTAGTGCTAACCTAATAAATGCCTCAACCTTTTAAAACCTTACGGCACAAATGCTCCATACACATTATTTAAAATATATTAATACAAATGAAATGCAAAATTAACTTTTGATGTGTCAGTTATAAACTATAACCACTTAACAGTAACTTTTTTAGAAGATACATACTATAGCATGGATGAACCTTGAAAATGTTACACTAAGCAAAATGAGTCATGTACAAAAGAACAAGTGCCATATGATTCCACCTAAATGAGGTACCTTGAGTAGCCCAATTCATGGAGACAGAGAGTAGAGTAGAAATTATCAGGAGCCAGTGATAGAAGAAATGTGGAGAGATTGTTTAATAGGTGTGGAGTTTTGGTTTGGATTGACACAAAGGTTCTAGAGACGGATGGTTGTGATAGTTGCACACAATCTGAATAAACTGAATGCTACTGAAGTGCACACTTAAAAACAGTTAAAATGGTACATTGCATGTTATTTACATTATAGTGAAAAGAAAAACCTTCATACATCTAGCAGTCAAGAGAAATATACGATACCCAAAGAAAAAAGCCTACCCTTTATGGAATGTTACTTATAGACTGGGCTTCTTTTAAAAATCTGTCCAAGGAAGATTTAACTGATAAATTTTTTCTCCTGGAATTTCATTGCTGCAAACACTTAAAATTAATGGTTAGGTCTGTACAGTTTGGCAAAAAAATCATCCCCTCAGAGTAAACCAGAACTAGGACCATTTAAACCCTTAGTGGTCTAGGGTAAGAGCTGCCCAAAAGGAGACAGCACTGATTTTTTATGTTTATTTTTCAACTACTTGAAAGGCAGAACAAGAGCAAAAGTGAAAGAGATCCTTCATCCACTGGTTCACTTCCCAGATGCCTACACAGCCAGGGCTGGGCCATGCCAATGCCAGGATCCAGGAACTTTATCCCAGTGTCCCACGTGAATCCTGACTCCCAGGATGCAGTAGTAGGAAGCTGGACTGGAAGTAGAAGAGCAGGGACTCAATCTGGCCATCCCATATGATACAAAGATCCCAAGTAGCAACCTGACCCACTGTGCCATTGTGCCGACCCCAGCACTGACTTCCTGACTCTGGAATATGGCCCAGTGCACTCAACACTTCTTGTTTTCTCCTCTTAGGTCTTTGAATAGTTTCCTACTTCTCATTCACGAAGCAAAATAAAACAAAACAAAACAAAAATTTTCTCTGCCCTCAAAAAAGGGGAGGGGCTGGCTTTGTGGCTCAGCAGGTTAAGCCACTGCTTAGGCCAACTACACCCAGTATCAGAGTGATGGTTCAAGTCCTGGCTACACCATTTCCAATCCAACATTCTGCTAATTTGAATCCTGGGAAGCAGCAAGTGATGGGGCAAGTACTTGGGTCCCTGACACCCACATGGGAGACTCAGATGAGTTTTGGGTTCCTGATGTTGGCCTGGCTCAGCCCTAGCTATTTAGGCATTTGGGAAGTGAACCAGTGGATGGAAGATCTCTCTGCTTTTCAAATAAATAAATAAATGTTGAGAAAAAGGCTTTAAAAACAAAGAGGAAAGGAGATGTGCTTTGGTTTGGGGGAAGTGAGGAATGCTGATGGACTTGTGTAGATGGGATCATCAGGGTGCTGTTTTGAAGCTGTATTTTCCTGGAGGAAACAGTTTCTGGCAGTGGAGAGAAAGATTAGGACTAGGCACCTTTCGGCATCTTAACTGAGAAGAGGGTAGTGTGCTAAGTATAAGCTGCCTGTGCCAGTGTTCAGAATTTCAAACTAATAGGATGGTGACATGCACCCTTCTAGATTTGTACCTTCCTTCCTGCGACTCGGATCATGGAACGTCATCATGTTCGTGTGCTTTGAAAAGCTGAAAGGAGAACTCATGAGGTCAAGGCAGACTGTGGACTGTGCCACATAATCAGCTTCAAGAAAAGGACACCACATCCCAGTGGGAACCCCTGCACCCGGGTCATCAAGAAATAAAACCTTGTTCACTTTATTTTACCCTAAAAACTAAAGAAATCCCGGTAGGGAGTTTTGGACTTTTTTTTTCAAAGGCAAATGAAGACCTATTTTGTCTAAGTTTTATCCTCAGTGCCTTAAGGAGGAGAAAGCCAAACATACATCTGGCAAATGTAGTGCTCAAATAAGGGACAGCACTTGGTTGACCATTTTGGAGGTGCAATGGTATAACTGAATATGAAGAACCTTTATATATTTTAATATTTTAAATTGATGGTAGAGGAAAACTGAGTGAAATGCATTTTATGAATACTTTAAAATGAAGTTGTCAAAGAAAATATTAGTTTCTTTTTATTTATTAACCACACTGCCAGCTAATATATTCAATAAAGTATTCTAATACCTTTCCAAATTTGTCTTTTGGAATCTATATCTATATGAAAGTGGGAGTTCACCGAGGATACAAAATTCTCCAGTGCGAGTAGAGTCCTGTAGAATCACAGGCAAAATTACTCTGTGAATACAGATTTTGAGAGTCCACATTGTACAGCATCAGTAACAACTTCTAATCTAAGGCACTGTATTCATTTGGATATTATTATTATTAGAGTCTTGGTTTCCATCGTAGAATCACAGCATTTTACAGCTGAAAGGTCATGTTGGGGAAAACAGAGAAACAGTCTGAGGTAACCTGTCTTGTGCTTACACACTGAGTGCAGACGAGATAGGAAAAGAGGTCACTAGGGACTAAAATGTACAGAAGACACGGCCCAGCCTTTATTGAAGCCAAAATCAGGGGCTAGCTGCACAGCCAGGCTACAGGCTCCCAGGTTCGAGTCAGCTCCACACTGCATTGATTACTGTGGGTTGTCCCCTGACCTCATGCTTCCTTATCTGTCATGGGCAAAAGTGTCTTTGAACAGATGCCCTCAGGCTCCTGTACTCACCACTTCCGTGCTAGCTGGCCTGACCTCCTGTTGACATTCCTCTGGCCATCAGAGACAACGCAGTCTACCTGTCCATGGGCATACTGGATCTGGGAAAATGGACACTCGGGGGACGTGGCTCAGTTCCAACAACTGACAGGTGAAGTATCACTGAGGGGGTCAAACTCCAGTTACACACAGTGGTGTAATGCTTCACATGAAAACATAATGTGCTGACTTCAACTCCATCTCCTGGTTCCCCACCCCCTTACCAGTGTTTCCTGGGATCACCTCCCAAATGAACTGCAAATTCTTTCTCCAGATCTGATCTCAAGGGAATGAAAATGAAAATAAAGTAAAACCTTAGAGTAGCATATTTTTTTCTTTTTAAAAAGATTTATTTATTTGAAAGTCAGATTTACAGAGAGAGGGGAGGGGGGGGAAGGGGGGAAGCGGGGAGAGAGAGAGAGATAGAGAGAGAGATAGAGAGAGGGAGGTATCTTCCATCCAGTGGTTCACTCAAGTGGCTGCAACAGCCAGGACAGAGCCAGGTCAAAACTAGGAGCCAGGAGCTTCTTCCTGGTCTCCCTTGGGGGTGGCAGGGGCCCAAATACTTGGGCCATTGTCCACTGCTCTTCCTGGGCCATTAGTAGGGAGCTGGATTGGAAGTGGAGCAGCTGGGACATGAACAGGTATGGTGGAATGAGAAGGCCACGCCAAGATAGCTGCTGGCAAGCATCAGTTACTCAGGAATGGCTTTGAAATCTACTTGGCAATGGAGCCTGCCTGGCAACAGGCTGTCATTGGATGGCTTCAGAAACCACATGGCAACAGAGTCTGACTGGCAACAGGCTGTGACTGGATGGCTTCGGAAACTGCCTGGCAACAGGGTGTGATTGGTTAGGGCATAGACCGCCCCTTGACCGGATTGGCTGCCTTGGCTATATAAGCTGCTGTAGCAACTGAAATAAACAAGTCTGCGGGCTGCTCGCCTCTGGCCCGCTTTCACCTGATTCCCCCCGGGGGTCTGTGTGGTGACTGTGCGCCTCTTGCCCCCACCACACTCCTCCTCTCAGAACAAATCCACCTCAACAAACAGGCAGCAGTTTTATCCACTATGCCACAACACCAGCCCTAGCACATTCTTTGTTTGTTTGTGTTTTTAAGGATTTATTTTATCTAGTTAGAGAGAGGTAGAGAGGGGTAGAGGTAGAGAGAGAGAGACAGCGAGCCAGAGAGAGAGAGGTCCTCCATTCCACTGGTTCACTCCCCAAATGACTGCAACTGCCAGAGCAGAGCTGATCCAAAGCCAGGAGCCAGGTTCTTCCAGGTTTCCTACACTGGTGCAGGGGTCCAAGGGCTTGGGCCATCTTCCACTGCTTTCAGAAGTGGAGCAGCCAAAACTCGAACTGGCACCCCTATGGGATGCTGGCACTGCAGGTGGTAGCTTTACCCCCTATGCCACCGTGCTGACCCCAGCTTGTTATATTTATTCCTATGTACTAGGTATCTTTTAAGTGTTATTATAAATTTTTACAAGTTAGCATTTTCTATTGATGGGATATAGAAATGCAAAATGTATTTTATACTGATTTTTCTAGCAGCTTTGCTAAACTCTTAAAATTTGTATGCCAATGCTTTTGAATTGTCCATGTACACATTTATATCATTTGTGAATTTAACTTTTCTTTCCATACATTTGTCTTAGTGGCCACATTACTGGACATGATGTGAACAGAGGTTGGAAACACAAAGGTCTTCAGAAAGTTCACAGAAAATGTGTATCATGAAAAAAATATTTATACCAAAATTAACTTATCTTTTAATTTCATTTTCCATGAACTTTTTGAAGAACCCTAGTAATGTTTGAGCAACTTAGCTCATCCTTGTTTCTTTTCACATCATGGAAGGAGCATGCTTAGAGACACATGGATTTGACTGGAACTGCTCATAAACCTGTGGTCTGGATTTAAGGTTAGCTGATGCCAGCTGAGCTTAGCAGAGATAAGGAGCCTACTGATATGTGAGGAACAAATGCTTGTGTATGCCACTGAGATTTTCTTTGGGGACCAGGGATAGCTTATTGTTATGCACTGTTACTTGAGCAATAGCTTATTGACAGAAGTGGTGATAAATTTCAATGGTTTACCATTAACCATGTTTGCTCTATCTTATAAAGATATGTTTAGTAAAACTAATCACTATTTCTCATTTGTTAAATATTCTTGAATGAATGTTGAATTTTTATCAAATGTTTTGTCTGCATCAAAGATCACATAATTTTCAAATATTAATGTGGCAAATGATATTAGTTTTACTGTGGGCATTAATCGAACTTAGCCAAAATTGATCTTATATCAAAACAATAATAATGACCTGGTATGTATATCACTTAATATTTTTCATTATTTAATACATTAAATTTTAGTATTTTCTGGATTCAATATGCTAATACTCTTAGGATTGCTGCATCCAAATTGACACCAGCATGCAATTTTTCTTTTTCATCATGTCCTTGTTGGGTTTTCACAATCAAGAATACAATAGCCTTGCACAGGCTCCATCATTATGTAGAGTTTGTGAAAGCTGGCAGTACTTCATTCTTAAGTATGCTATTTAACTCACTGGTGCAAGACATATATAAAATACAAGGTTTTTAGTGGAAATGTTTTTAAATCGATGATTCAGTTTAATGGCTCTGGAACTTTGCCCTATTTTATTCTTGTAAATCTTTGTAAGTCAAATATATATACTATTGGGGCCAGCACTGTGGCAAACCAGATAAAGCTGCCACCTGCACCATTGGCATCACATCTATATAGGTGCCAGTTCGAGTTCTGGCTGCTCCAGTTCTGATCCAGCTGCTTGGGAAAGCAGAAGATGGCCCATGTCCTTGGGCCCCTCTACCCACGTGGAAGAACCAGATAAAGCTCCTGGCTTCAGTCTGGCCTGCCCTGGCTGTTATGGTTATTTGTGGAGTAGACTAGTGGATGGAATCTCTCTCCCATGCACTCCTGCTGTCTCTCTCCCTCTCTGTAACTCTGCATTTCAAATAAATAAATAAATCATATATATATATTAAAGATATATCAGGGGTGGAATAGGGAGGGAGCTTACTACTCTAGTCTAGGGGAAGATAGTTTGGGAGAGCACAGTCTCAGGGAAGAGTTAGGGAGAAAATGGTAGAGGAAACTCCATGCAAATTAGAGGGACACTGTGGACCTCTGTGGAGGGTATGGATGCACACTATTCAGCACCCCAGCAGCCAAAAGCCTCAGCACCAGAGTGAGGTGAGACCAGACTACAGCAACCCAAGCCACTGGTGATAAAGATGCAGGAAGAGCTTGGTGGGAGTCCAGCTTGGAGCCCTGTGGGGGACAGTATACCTGCTAATCGAGAGGGGGAAAAGGGGGGCATGTTTCTCTCTCCCCAACTGCCCGGCACTGGCATCCTGTAACTAGCCAAGGGACATTGGGCGCCATTTTGGACATACCCAACAGCTGTACCAGCTCATGTCTGCACTCCCAGCAACCAGCCATGAGGAGATGCCTGAGTCTGGCTGAGAGAACGGACAGGCAGCTGGGAGTATGTGACCGCTGGAGCCTTGTGTGGTGGGACTGTGAAAACATTGTGACTGTGTGGGAGGAAAGAGGGTTTGGCCGGGACTTTGGGCAGTTACTGTGGGTGGTTTCACATGCTTAGGGCTCCCTGATTCCATGATGAGGGTCACTGCTGTGGGACCCAGGCTCACATCAAGGAGTGCCTGGATCCTCTGTGTGGTTCCTGTGGCAGTACAGATGAAAATTATACCCAATGGGGCTAGCACCCAGGCCGTGGTCTCCTTTGAGAGGAGGTGAGCGTGAGACTGCCAACAGAGCTGAACAGACCTCCCTTCTGATAGGAAAAAAAAAAAAAGGAAATTTATCAGGCCCAACTTGGGTGTGACTTTAGATACTCCCCTCACACTAGAGCACTGAATAGAGCTCCCTGACCACACCCAGATTCCTGGACAGATACAACCTACCTAACTTGACCCATGAAGACAGAAAACCTAAACAGACCTATTACCAAGATGAAAATGGAATCAGTAAAAAAGATCCTCCCAACAAAGAAAAGCCCAGCATCGGATGGCTTCATTGCTCAATTCTACCAGACATTTAAGAAAAACTAACTCCAATTCTTCTCAAGCTATTCAAATCAACTGAAAGGGAAAGAATCTTCCCAAATTCTTTCAATGAAGCCAGTATTACCCTAACTCCTAAAGCTGAAAAAGATAAAACAGAGAAAGAGAACTACAGACTAATATCACTGATGAACAAAGATCCAAAAATCCTCAATAAAATACTAGCCAACTGAATCCAACAACACACCAAAAAAAGATCACTCACCCAGGACAAGTGGGATTTATCCCAGGTATGCAGGGATGGTTTAACAATCACAAATCAATCAATGTGATACATCACATTAACAAACTGAAGAAC